TGATGTTGAGCAAAAAAAAAAAAAATACCTTCCTGTAGCTGTGACTGTCAGGTACATTGTTTACTGTGACACCCAGATTTCCTGACTGAGACAATGAGTTATTTGAAGGACAGGATACATCAAAACGTACCTGGACACCAGGGATTGAAGAGTAGCACAAACTGGCCGAGGAGTGTTGAAGAGACCTTGTTGCCAGAAACCATCTGGAGTTTGAGTTTGTATCGTCCGATGACAGCATTGGCTGGGCTGAGTATGGTGAGGTCCGTGCAGCTGGGCTCGCTGGGCTCGTGGGTTGCGCTCCAGCCACTGGCGCTCTCCTCAGAAATGCTAAATATGGCCTTGGTCTGCTGTGATTCTGCTGGAGATGGTCCTGCCGGAGGAAACAGGGACAGCAATTATGAGCGACAGCTGCAGGTGACAAACTTGGGGTCAGTGATGATCTCAATTCCTTTTTTTTTTTCTTTTTAATTACTACATTGAAAGATTGTGGCTTATTAAATCAAATGCTTATTCAGCATAAACTAGCTGTGCTCCAACACGTAGAATCGTACCACGCAGCCCTCTGTGTTACTGCACAACCCAGTAAAAGGGAGTATGCCCATTAGCATTCTAGACAAGTGAGGAGACAAGCCTGTTGTCCTGAAAACCTGACAGTTCAAAAACGTATTGGCAGGATGAGCCACACATTTTAGTACACATTTCACTAAGAGTTAGCAGCTGCCAGGAGAATTTTTTTGGAGAAGGCTTTTAGGAAGACGCAGATAGGACCCTTATGAATGGGGTCCTGCAGAGTGTCCTAGTAATAAGGAACACATGAAGTTAATCAAAGGGAGTTTAAACAGGTGAAGTAAAGAGTCAGGAGAGGAGATGAATGGGGGATGGTGGTCTGTGGGAGGTAGAGCTGCAAAATGTTCAGGGACCACAGAATGAAGACAACCTGCGGTATTGCAGACAGGACCTTAGGAACAGAGAGACAGGCTTGTTTTCAGAATTAGGATGGCACCTACCTTTCTGTTAATTATTACCTTAACTGTCTATTGCCTTATGGTACAGATTGAACTTTAAAATGGGAGCTCCTAAGCCTAAAAGGACAATGAATCCTGAGTAACAGAGGATAAAGCTTAACGATTTGGGGAAGGACAAGAGGTAATGGGCAAAAACTTGAACATTGGAAGTTCCATCTGAGCATGAGGAGGAACTTCATTTCTTTGAGGGTGGCAGAGCACTGGCACAGGCTGCCCAGAGAGGTGGTGGGTCTCTGACTCTGGAGACACTCAAAACCCACCTGGATGCCGTCCTGCGCAACCTGTTGTAGGTGACCCTGCTCTGGCAGGGGCTTTGGACTGAATGATCTCCAGCCCTGACTATTCTGTGACCATGCAGAGCTGCAAGGCACTAGCGTTTTGGAGCTGGAGTGACTTGGATGTGAGGTGAGTGCCATGGGGCAATTACCTGTGCTTGCAATAAAGGTCAAGTTGTCTTCAGGTTGTACTGCTGTTTGGAAGTTCAGAGTGATGCTGAAGGCCTGTCCTCTCCTCAAGATTATTTCTGTGCTGCTGTAATCAGAGGTGTGGTGTGCAGCTTTATTTAGTTTGGACTGCCAGTTGACATTTGCTATTTTCAGGGCTAGAAAGATACACGGAAAGTTAATTAAAAACATTGTTCCTTCAAACTTGCACGTCTTTTCAGCTTGTTTAATGTAGTAATTTTATTATGTTTATATATAGCTGGAGTTATATACTCTAGGAAAACAGAAAAATCCACTGTGATTATGAAAAACTGCAAAGTAAATAACTTGGAGGAACAGCTAAAATATCTTTTCTGCAGGCATCTTTCAGAGACAGAAAATATACCCATTCAGAGAATTCATCTTTGATTTTAAAAATAAAAACCCCATTGTATTTAGGCCCTATTGTATTTAGATAAGGCTTTGCTAAAATTTGAAGAGGCTGTTCTGTTCCACTGTGTTCCTGCTCTTTTTCTGGGGGGATTTCTAGTTCCCAGAATGCTTTCCAGATGTACAGAAAGAAATATTAAAGCTCTCGTGAGCAAGTGCATGCCTGACCCTGGAAATCCTGTATGAGAGATGATGAATAGAAGGTTAGTGTCTTCATTGTCACTCTTGCACGTTATCTTGTTGTGTATCTCGTATCTCAGTTAATTTACAGTCTTGTTGCTTGAAGGTGAGTGTTAGTTCACACTCTGTTGGAAAAAGATAACCAGCAGAGGACAGATGGTAGGATTAGGAGTGGTGTATCTTGAGCCAGTGCTATGGGTTGCTCTGTTGTATCATGGTAGGTTGCCCACTACTTAAAATGGGACACTGAAGCACAGATTATAAAAGCTTTCAAATCTTCTTGTTCCCTGATCAATTAAAAAACCCCAAAGAACAAGCAAAAACAAAGTAGAAAAAAATACACATCCCTCTATGAACACACGTGTTTGAGAAGTGCCCTTCCCCAGTATGATATTCCAGAGGAATTTCACTTGAAGAAAATTTCCTGGCGTGTTAACCTTTTGCAGACTAATGGTGCTGTAAGCAACACTTCCACCCTTTCACTGAACGAAGCTCCAGGACTTGGTTTAGCAGCACCTTGAATCACTTGGAATGAGATTCGTACCTGAGGGAATCTATAGGGTTCCACTATGGAAAGAGAGAGGGCGGGATTTGAGTTTTCTGCTGCGTTTGCAGCACCGAATTCTATTCTGTGAAGTCTTAATGTGGTCATAATTATACTAATTTTTCAGCTTTTTGGAAGAAACACAAATGCGCACGTGGAGTTCTGAGGCTGCAGTAAGGGCCTGGAGCAAGTTGCATTTCTGTAGTCTGTGAGCATAAACAAGTTTATTTTCAGTTAATTGAAGGGTCATGTTTCAGATATGTCACCTGGAGGAAAAAAAATTCCCTTGATAGGAGTGTGATGTTTGAGTCAGGCGGTGTAAAATGTCTAGAAAGTTTCTGGCTTGCATCATCGCTTTGTTTTCCCGGCTTAAATACGTTTAACTGAAAAGGGCCTACAGAAAACAGCATTCTTAACATCAAGTCCTCTAATTTAAGAGTAAATTAGAACATATTTGGGAAGGGCAGTTGGGCTCAGAGTCTGGAAAGAAGTTAGCCTTGCAACACTGCCCGTGTGTGTCCCACCGCTGTGTATCCGGAACCGGGCAAGTGAAAGGCTCGGGCTCGTCGGGGCGGGCAGGCAGCGCATCAGCAGTTGTGCAGTGATGGAGATAACTAAGAGCGTTTTGCATATCTGCAAATAAAAATGTAGCACTCTAGGATTTAATAGCAGCTGAGCCGTGGATTCGACAGGAGGGGGACTCTGACTTTTAAGAGTTAAACTCTTAGTGCTGCTGAGACTTTCAGAGTGGAATGTCGCAGGCAAAGACAAGATGTACAACAGAGCAAGAGGGGACACCTGGAGAAGTAGGAAGATAAAGAAGGCAGTGGTTAGCATTGGTTAGCTCTAAGAATTTGCTGCTTTAATAGCTTGGTTTGCCTTGCAAAGTCCACGATTACACAAGCGTTTCCAGTGAATGTGTGCTGGAGATCAGCAAAAAATAGTTTGTATATGTGGCAAGAACACAATAAAGCCCGATACCAGTCTTTTGTCCATGTGTACTTCAAATTTCTCTTTTTGATCTTCACAGTTTCAATTTAAATCTTATCATTTATTTTTCTGCCTTCAGTATTTCTCTGTTGCAAAAAAAATATTTTGAATAATCCTGCCAACGTGCAATTGGACAAACTTCTAAAAAGTTGTTTGTGTGTTTGTCCCCTCATGGATAGACATTGGCAGCATGCTCATAAGCAAGTCTGCAGAATCAATGGTCGCTGCTAAAAATGCTGATTGTTATATACACAGGGTTCTTGCTGTTGCCTCTGACAGAAAGCTGAAGCTATAACAGAAAAAAATCCTTAGGCTAAATTGTAGATAGACTCTGTGTGTGTGTTGTATGGCCCAACTTTCTAACTAGAGAGCTTTGCAGTCAGCATGAGAGTGGAGAGCAAGTGCAATATAATACATGAGTACTGGGATTGCACTTCACCAAGGCAGCGTGCAGGATAACACAGCCACTTCGTAGGGAGGTGAACGTGGGAGTCCAGAGGCCACAAAGTGACCTGTCTGAGGCCAGACATCCATTTGACATTAGAGCCTGGGACTTCTATGTGGCAGTTCGATGCCCAAGTCACCGGCCAACAGTGTGGCTGCAAGAGCACTGTGTAGAGTAGTTAATGGATAGAGTAAGAAAAGATTTTTCTATCCTATTTTTCTATGTTACAGGACAAAAGAATATGTTCAAGACCCATGATATTAAAAGGAAAAATAAAATCAGTTTTAGTAGAATAACCCAAAAATGCATTTAACCTAAAAAGGGCTAGATTGCCAAGACAACTAAATGTAACTTATCCTATTTCTTCAGCAAATGTCACTCATCTGTATTGGAAGAGTGATGTCTGGAGCCATCAGTCTATTTTTAACTTACCCGCCATAAGGTTTCTTTCTTCTTTTCCACACTCCTGCGTAGCTCAGGTTATGGATGCAAAAGTGTGCAAGAACATTCTGAATCCTCTTCCACCAGCAGGAGTAACGAAAGACTTAGGACTCTTGACTTCACTACATAAACTAGAGTTTATACAAGCTGGGTGTGACCTGTAGTTGCTAGTTACTGTTTTTGTAGTGGTGTCCTACGTAAGCATCTACTTATGACTGCTTTAATTGCACAATCTTGAATCTAATTATGCTTATTTAAAGCTGGTGAATGGTTGAGGAAAGATGATAAACACTATCTTGGTGTCTTAACTATTAAGAGAGGAAAACATCCCAAATTTGATCTAATGAAGGAAATACAGTCTTACATAGACAGAAGAAACTTAATTTTGCATGGTTTGGTTTGTGTCAGTTTAGGTTTTTGGAGACTGTATGTACAGAGGGCAGTTAGACAAATATACACATCGTAAAACATGGATGTACGGGACATGGAGTGATCTAAGTAGAGCTATAATAGCGTTTCTGCTGCTCACTAACCGTGACTTTGTATAGTATAAACCACTTTTTTTTTTTTTTTTTTAAGGCAGGTCTGACTGAAGATCGTTCACATAACTGCATACAATTCATTCTTTCTTGGAAGCATACAGAGTTGTGAAAGTCTCATCCTCCGTTCCTGCCGTGATCACCTATAATATGCATTTCTTACATAAGCAGCAGCACATCCCGCTGAGAGGGCATCGTTATGCAGCCACCCGTGCATCAGGGATTTCCGAGACGTACAGAGGAGTGTTTAAGGCTGCCTCCGCTTTTAATCATTTTTGTGTATAGGTTGACGTTCGTAATACATGCACGTGATTCTCTGTAGCTCTTTGGCACAGCATCTTGCGCTGGGCCCTGGGGGAAGCTGCCGAGCTGTTCTGCTGGTGTGAGCCCTGCCCGCTCTAATTACAGACACACTCTGCTCCGCTCTTGAAGCTCCCTCATGCTCACTCCTCCCTCGTCCTGTGTCACAACTGGTCTAGAAACTCACCCTGCCAATTTGTCCTGAGAGGAGGTCGCACGCCGAACTCACTGAACTCTCAGTGGACTGTGACAGGGGAGTAATGGGTGATCCCTCATTTTCCTCAGCTCTACACTTCTATGTTATGTCTTTTTTTTTTTTTTTTGGTCTGTTGTTGTTTTCTGCTTTGTTTCCACATTTATATCAAAATTGCCTGCAACCAAAAAGGCAAACTAACTACCTGCAGCTTAAATTTAATTTTAAAAAAGGGATCCAAATTGTTTTGTTATGGTTTCTTGTGTATTTTTTTCAGTAGGAATTTGTGATCGTGTCTGGATGCGTCTGAAATGGACTAGATGACCTTTAAAGGTCCCGCTTAATCCAAACTATTCTATGATTCTATGAAATATTATCACTTGTCAGACAAAAGATGTCCACGTTGAAATCCCGACAGCTCTGTGGTTCAGAATTTTGGCCTCAGTAGTCCTGCTTTAAACATTTCTAAGTCGGACAACAAATCTAAATCTTCTGGCCTGGCAGAGCCGTTTGTACACCGTTACTGCCTCGCGCCCTACTCCCGAAGCGTGGCCGGGTGGTTACTGTGCCCCGTCAGTCATCGGCTTTCAGGGCAGTCCCGGGAGAGGCAGCGTTACCTGCGGTAACGGAGAATCCTTAAGGCTACTTAAAAACGCATTTTGGGTGAGAGTGGGTACCTGGCGGCGTTGGGATGGGGAACCCACAAAAGAGGCACCTGTACGCAGACGGCGGTGTGGAGCGGGGGCTGCCTGGGAAGGACTCGCGTTGGGAAGGGTGGAAGACAAATGTGTTCTTGGTCTCCAGTGACCTTCCGCTGGTGGGCAGAACGTGTTAGTTACCTTGTGTTGCTGGACTTCCGCATTAATGCAAGACTCTTCCCTGTGCTTCGAGGTGCTTGGGACTCTGTCGCGTTACATAGGAATTAAGTTACAGATTTGAATATGTAGATGTGTTGTCTGCTCTGTGACAGGCCTATGCCCACAGGCTACAGAAATATTGTTATAGTGAAACCCAAACATTACTTTTCCCAGCCTTCGTAGGCTTTTTTCCTCCCCGTTCAGAGTTACAGGCGTCACAAAATACAGACATTAAATGAACAATGGAGGAAATGTTCTGGCTTTTTAGGTAAGAAACTTTTTAAATGAAGGAAAAAGAACTTTCCTCAATCTTGTGATTTCTTGTATTTCCATGGAATGTACAACTCATTACAAAAGAATACAGTTATAGGAATAATTTTTATTTATTGCTGAGAATTAGAATGTGGTCATAAAGGGATTGTATTAATTATCTGATCAAAAAGTTAAAACTGGGAGCTTAATACAATGAGATTGGATAAAACAGTGAAACTACTTCTACAAGGAAGGGGCTTTATTTTTCTAGACAAGAGGACAAAAAAAAAGAAATACAATTAGAGACTAAGTAATTAAGCACTGTGAGAGCAGAAGACTTGATTCTATTGCAATGTAAGAGGTCACCAATTTTTGTGGAAAGTTTCTTGCAGTCATCACGGTCCCTATACACTGGAGAACATCTTGCCATGTTAGTGCTGAAATAGGAGATTGATTCCATCACATTATGCACGTGCGACTGCAATGGTTACAAATCCCTTAACATGTGAAAACTTGTCACAAGAGAAGTCTACTTGCAGCTGTAAGGGCCCAGCCCTGCGAGGTGTGAATTCAAAATAAATTTTTGATCTCTCCCTCGGTCCCAGTTGTGCCAGACTGGAGAGAAAAGAAAAAAAAAAAAATTCAATTAATTCAGGCTTGCATTGTCTTTCTTTGAGATTGCCAAGAAGCAGGACTGCATGATAGCTAAGGCACCAACAGCTACTGAGACCCAGCCTTGGTTTCTGAGAATTACCTGGGGTTTGAGGCTTTGTGTAGACTAAGAAATGAGAAAAGATAGTACCGTCTTAATTTACTCTTGAATAGACTGATGGAAATGAGAAGTGCTACATCATGCCTCTGTGTTAGGGCCGGGTACACGTTTGGATGGTCAACACAAACTCAGAATAGGAAAACTGTTGTCAAAGGTCAGCGCTCTGATGCCTGCTTGGTTCATATCCACTTTGGCAACAATATGATTTTTCTAATGGCCAGGGTGCTTTGTTTTGTGTCTCCTTTTGGCCTAAATTACAGAATCGCAGAATGGTCAGGGTTGGAAGGGACCTCTGGAGATCATCTAGACCAACCCCGAATTGGGGGGAGGTTTAGTCTTCCACTGGAATAACATTTTCCATATTTTTATGGATTATTATGTCCAAATATTTCAGTGCTACAGCAAGTCAGGCTGTTTTATAATAAAACAAGCTTTAGGAAATAAGAACGGCTCGATGCTGAGTTAATCCATAAAGCAGCAGAGTCGAGAGGAAAGGAAAAAAGCAATAGAACATTTTGCTCTTATACTCTGAAAAAGGCATGATTTTCTCCTACTTTAAAGGAGAGCAGAGCAACATTTTGTTTGGGCTGAAATGAGGGGAGCTATGGCAGTGTTTTATTTGCTTTAGCTCAGACCTATTTCTGTAGTATTAGGGTACTCTGTATAAAAACAAACACAAAGGCAAGCTGTGGAATAAATATCAGAGACAAAAAAGAATTCGATATGCTCATTTGCTTTCCCAGGAAGGAAGACCATTAGCAGGTTTTAGTTGTTAAAGAAGTTCCTATGTGGGGGGAAAAAAATAATACATTATTGAGAAATCATAATATCTTAATATATATTTAGTGGAATTTTTATTTTCATAAATAGGAAATATGAAAAAGACAATTCAAGCATGATTTTTTTTTCTTACTGAGAAATTAGACATTAGGTCATGTTAGAAGTACTGAGTAAATGTTACAGCTTTTACTTACTGTATCTTGACCTGTTGATTCATCAAAGTCACGAGTAGTACGCAGCGGCTCACGGGCTCAGGGAGGGGATTGGCGTATGAGATCTCTAGATTAACAGCTTTGTTCACTACAACCCGCCGGGGAATCTAAATGACAAAGGCACATTTCTGGTCATTCACTGTTTTACACTTTCCTGGAGTCAGACTTCAGTCGGACTGTAAAGCAGAGCACCTCTCGCCTTTGAGGATGAATGAGCTATTTTAGGAGCACTGAGATTTAACTGACAGTTGGGATGCCTTCCCTAGTACGGGATATGGATTAGCTAAATAGTGCCGTCAAGCTGTACGCAATATTTTGTGCACCATTTTAGTGAAATAGAGCCCTGACTATACAGGCACATCTCATTAACCTGTCTGATCTTTGGGTTGCTGTGTCCTTTTTTTTTTTTTTTTTTTTTTTTTTTGGCACATCATTGCTTAGGATGAAAATGTTAAAACAATATAAACTGGCCCTAACATAGATTAGAATTAAGGGATTAAGTCTGTATTTCAGAAGTGGGTGAAGTTGTTTAAAGCACTTGCCAATAACTAGAATACAGAAGAAATGAAAACAAGTTCTGTGAATGTAAAGCAGTGGCATGTGACTGGGAAAGAAAGAAAGAAGGCAACAGAGCTGTTCTGAAGAACTGGGGGGCAGATTCAGGCAAAGATTCAAAACTGGTCTCTCCAGTGCTTACTTTTTCAATTTAAGCAGGCAGAATTTTAGAGCAACATCTGAAATTGCAGCTTAAATCAATGCATCTATCCCCAAATTCACATCTTAAGATCTGAGCTCCAGAAAAACTCTTTAGTTCTTTCTGTCTGTTTAGGACATCAGGGAGAGAATTGTTTACCTTAATGATAATGTTTGTGTCCTCTAAAATGATTGTCTTCTCCACCAGCAGCTTTAGTCCGTGCCTGTGCAGGACTTCACACAAAGCAGTAACTTGGATCCTTTTGTCAGTAGTCAGGTATTTTCCATAATAAGCATAAGGAATCTTTAACCGGATATGTTTCCCTGGAATTCAGACACATATTTAGGAACCATTACATTCTCAAAGAATGCTAAAGAAAAGAGAGTCATTATGAGGGGT